CATAGCTTGCAAAGTAAATATCACCTACGGGCTATATACACAAGCTTCCACACATGATGCTGTCTGTACATCTCGATACATAGATTCACAGAGCATACACAGCCTTCGGGTATACATATAGCTTGCGAACTACACATCGCCTACGGGCTACATACACAAGTTTCCGGGTGCGTACATACATACAACTATAATATCCGGCTGGGTGGGGTCTAGTATCTGCAGTAGGTTCGGGTAGGGGTTCCTGCTGGCATTCGGATAGAACTGTCTGGCGGCTATATATAAGGCTTCGACCCTAGGGTAAGGTTAGGGATATAAGTCGCTCAGGCCAGTTCGAGTTCCGCCTGGCCTTGGGTAAGCTAGGGGAAGGACCGTAAGACTGCTTCAGTGGGTGCTACCCTGTCTGAACCTAGGTTCCATAGTCTTTTGGGGCCTGTACTAGATTGTCTGGGCCTGGCGTCCGAAGTTCCCATTCGACAAGGCCCGTCCGATTCCGCTTCCACCAGGGCAGGGCAACCTATCAGCCCTGGTGCCTATCACTGCTGTTCGGTACAACTTGCCTGCCCATTGGTAGGGCAATGGTCCTGAGTGCTGGTCACACTGAGGTAGGATGGTGGGATAGGGGGTACGCTAGGAGTATTGACGTGAAGATGGGATGGGAGGTGGTCTCATATTCCAGGACACCCGCGACTCACAGCTCCAGGTGATCATTGTGCACTCAGTGACTGGCCTCTACAACACCCTGGGCTTTGATTAAAAAAAAAAAAAACCTGCCTTGTTACCCTGGCCTCTCCCTCAGAGTCTCCTCCCTGACACTGCCGTGTTGCCACACATGGGGAGAAGTTGGGGGGGCAGGGCGGCGGGGGAGGGGAGAGGCAGAGGAGAGGGCAAAGTCACAAGGAGAAGGGTTTTCTGAGGGCACCTAAAAAATGTACTCCGTCGTTGACTCGGTAGCCTGTCTTCCCACAGTCTCATTCTGTCAGGATTTGAAGTCATGATTGCATCCATCTGATTCCGACAGGAGTCGAACTCACGACCTGTTCTTTCACAGTTACAAATATGTGCCATTCAGCTACATGGGCTGGGTGTCTACCTTCTTCCCCCCAATACAACGTACAGTCATTATAGCTGTATTTGAGGCATCTTTCAGTCTAGATACAGCTATAATGACCGTACCTTGTATTCGGGGGAAGAAGGTAGACACTGTTTTCAACTCCCATGCAGGCTCCTTATTTTTTCGGGGAAGCTATGCGGCGGTCAGAAAAAGAGTTTGAAAATACACTTTGGGCAAACAACAGTCAAAAGAGTTTGAAGATACCCTTTGGGCTAAAAACAGTTTCAAATTGCACTTTGAGCAATGTATACAAGCTAGTTTTCCGGTCAGGTAGGGTTACCTTGGCGGGGTGTTGTGTTCGGGACAATGCCTACAGTGTAATTTAAAAAGTAGTTTCCCACAAATGGGAAGAAATGGAGGGGTGGGGTGGAGGAGGGGGCAGAAAGAGCAAAAAGGGGTCTTCTGGAAGGGGTGTAAGAAATGTACTCTGTCATCACGTTGCCCCTTTCGGGGTTATTTTGTGCCGGCTTGCCCTGCACCATCATGGCCTGCAAGCGACTCTTCAGCAACTGGAAATGGAAACCAACACGTGGAAAAACACAACACATGGGAAAACGACACGTGGAAAAAACACACCCATTATTGTGAGAAAGGAAAAAGCTTTTCTACAACACAAAAGGTAAAGCATGTGGGCCCATGTGACTGAAGGGTACACTCATAAACTACTGACAAACAAGAGACCTAAGTTCAAATCCAGCTGGAATCAGATGAATGAAATAAAAGGGGTACTCCGAAGGAAGGCAAAGTAAAGATAACCAAGAAACTAAAAAAAAAAAAAAAAAAAAAAAAAAATAACCTTTTTTTTTTTTTTTTTCTCACTCTCTCTCTCTCTCTAGACCCCATATGCATAGCCGCTCATGGCGGTCCACCCCAAGAACACGGGCATGAACAAACAGAATGAAAAAAAAAAACCCAAGGGCAACAAAAAAAAAAAAAAAAAAAAAAAAGATAACCAAGAAAGGACTAGTATATGATGAAAGGGAATACAACAGGTTTATTGTGCTCCATGTTATTTGCTATAGAGGTAGAGTTGTTTCAATTTTGGACTTGCTGACTAGGCTACCAGCCCGGCTCACCCTGTTTTCCCAGGCGGTCGGGCTGCACAAGGACCAGGGAAGGTCCCAGTCAAAAAAAAAAAAAAAAAAAAAACGAAATCGAAGAAGTCCAAAAAGAAACTATGTTCTGCAGAAAAATAAACTGAACAACTTTTGCCTCAGGGTCACATCGAAATTATTT